CACCACACAAATGTACCTGTTTCCAGCACGAGTTTGGGGCAATGGACCTGCAATGTCAATAGTTACTCTTTCCATTGGAGCACGTCCCTTATGCTTGGGTCCCCTTATAGCACAACATGTACTGCACCATTCTTCCACATGTTGTCTCATACCTATCCAGTAAAATCTCTGTCGTAGGTGACTCAATGTTTTCTTAACTCTGAGATGTCCTCCAGTTATACTATCATGGGATTGACGCAACACAACTTCCCATAACTGTTTGCAGGTTAATACTTTCCCATCTCTGGAGAAGAATACCATCTTCAAGCTTCAACTGGTCCTATTGTGCCCAATAGTTCTTTGTCACAGGGCTTAAGCTAGACACCTTCTCCCAAGCAGGATGCAAAACACTTGCTTGTAGAAAATCAATTATTGGCTTCAAATCTTGGTCTTTCTCCTGTTCTGCTTTAATATATATACTTGGTTCCACTTCACCATCATCAACTACTTCAGTCACTTTGACTTCAGCTTGATGGCACCTGGTTAGTTCAACCTCTCTTTTAAGACTTACCAGAATTTGGCCTTTGTTATTCCCAAACGTCATTTTATCGAAGTTAACTACACACTTCCTCGGTAGTAAGTAGTCCAACCCTAAAATACATTGGTCTTCAATGTCAGCCAAGTATACTTTGTGTCTGTCCTTCATACCCATGAGCTCAATAGTTACCCACACTGGTCCCCACAACCTTGCATAGTGCCCTGTCACACCACAGAGCTTCTGTATGGCTTCTGGTACTCCTTTGTGATCTAGCACCTTGATACTCACAAGGGTTTGCTGAGATGCAGAATCTATGACAAAGTTGCACTTTTGGCCATCCAGCTTTCCTGTCACGTAGACACTATGTGTACTTGCCATTTTACACTTAGATGTTGGGACTTTCACAATGGGGAGTTGGTGGGCGTCCCTCAACACCAACCACTACTGGTTTCCCCGAGACTGACTTATTGGCTCCTCATATATCCTTGCTCTCCACAGTTCCAACAACCTTTCTGGGTAGCAGCCTTTCCTGCCATGACATCTTTCCTGTGTTGAAGTTGCTGGCATTGAGCTCTCTTGTGCCCAAGTTTGTTACAGTACCACCAAAGTCCCACAAACTTCTCTGAAAGCTGCCCTTTTCTGGCCTTGAATCCTGATGACTATACCAACCTTGGTACTTCTGTGCTGGACTTAACATAGGATTCGAATTCAAGAGCTCTGTCCATTACATCCTGCATAGTAGAGGAGTGTGCTTGGTTTACTTGTATCTTCAGTTGTGGACTAAAGGCTT